CAACTGACTTCACCACCCAAATAAGGCCATTCACTGGCCCTTCTATTTTTAACTAGTTTACCACAATGGAAAAACTTAAATGTAACAACCTCGTCAGCATCTCCATCTGTGTAAGAGGAAGAGTCACTTAACAAATCGACAAAGGTAACAAAGACAAAACAACTATAATATTTGGCAGATTTTAGTTCAGTCTGAATACCAAGGTGTTTTTAAGGTGCTTTGTAAGGTTCAATCTAAATAAGTCATAGCACAGAGTAAAAAAGTATATCATAAAACAAAAATAATATTTGGCAGATTTTAGTTCAGTTTGAATACCAAGGTGCTTTGTAAGGTGTTTGTAAGGTTCAGTCTAAATAAGCCATAGCACAGAGTAAAAAAGTATATCAAAAAATAAAAAAAAAACTCTAGCAACACACAAGGACTAGACAAGGAACACACAAGGGACCACACAATGCCACACTAGACCAGCACATAATCAAAAAGTATACAACAAAACAAAACAAAAACTCCAACAATAGTCCAATGCACATGCCAAAATCAAGAAAATCGAGTGAGAATGGGTCCACTTACATATGGGTTGATAACCTCTAGATTCTCTAAGCACCACCATCTTCGCACTTTCTAGCCTTAAAGTCTAATGCCAAAGACTGATTTCTTCTCCAGATTTTCCAAAATTCGAACCCCACCTCAGATTTTGCAAAAGCCCTAGCCTTCTCCAAATCTCCCCTTTTCACCCAAATACCCAATTTCCCCCTCTCTTCTGAAAGTGAAAAACCCTTATCCGAAGAGGTTAAAGATTAAAACGAAGTGGGGCCCCAAAGTTTGTAATGGAACGTCAAAAATATTGACGGAACGGGTAACTTAAGACTCTTTTGTAAACGTTGGGGGGTATTTTGAGACGTTTGCAAACACATGTGGTAATCTGAGACAAGTTGAAAAGCACAGGGGGCATGTACATAATTAAGCCTTAAATTAATGCAATACCATGGAAAAGAATGAAAAATATGAAAATATGTGAGGTAAAGAAAAGAAATGAGGAGAGAGGTTTCTTACACACACAAACTACCACGGTGTCATAGGAGTTTGAACCTGAGACCACTAGTCTACAAGTCAAGGCCCTTTTTCATCGGGTTTGACACCGTTGGCAGAGAGTTTTGGTATTAAAAGAAGAGTTTTGGAGCCACTCATCTATTGACAAGATATAGGCTTTTCACTCTATAACTAATCTGTAAGATATTGCATTTTTAGATATATATATAGCCCTTTCACTCTTTCACTATATAATTTACCAGTAAGATATAGGCTCATTTCAATCCTAAACAAGTCTTTTCGTAAGGAGTGCCCTAAACCCTTGAATATCGTAAGACCCTAAATCCTAAACAAATGGAAAGCATCCAATGTTAATGCACAAGGGCAAGGCATTGTAAAGGAATGCATTCCATGTCGATTCGCAACAAAGGGAATGCATGCGATGTCAAGGGACGTTTAATTAGTGCCTTCAATCCAAAGGCAGATCAACGCAAGTAAGGGCCAAGGCACGATATAGGAACACTGGCGGACCCACAAAGGTGCAAGGAGGTGTAGCTGCACCTCCCCTCGCAAGAAAAAGCTTTGAAGTTGCCAGAGTTTACCTATCAGCTCTGCCTTGGAGGTGCCCACCACCTGTTCAAATAAATGCCTCAGCAACCGAGCAACTTGTTCTTTTCTTGTTGTGATGATGCGCTGTTCTTTTCTTTGTTGCGATGATGTGCTGCGCTCAGTGCATGTTTCTTTTTTTAAGTCCTGGCCAAACGATGTTGTTTTGGCCAGGCCGAAATTTTTTTTTTAATGAACAAACCTGAAGCCTTATTTCCACACAACGAAAGAGCATTGTCTTGGAGTCCAAGTTGGAATTAAATGGACCAAGGGATGCCTTGCGTTGAATTCTTGATTCTTGACGAAACTTTGTGTGCTCTTGAGCCTTGCTGCAGATCCATCCCTCTCTTTCCAAGTTTGAATGTATTTTTGTTTAGTTTTTTTTACTTCAGTTTTTTTATATTTTATAATATGTTGTTTATAATTTTTTTTGGGTAAAGTTGTAGCAATGGTCCCTGAAATAATACCCCACTTTACTTTTCGTCCTTCCACCCAAAAAATTGTTATGATCATCCTTCATTTAGATATCGCGTTGCACCACTCGTCATTTCGTCAATTCTATTAAATTTTCTGTCAAAATTAAAGGCAAATTGGAAAATTCATATCAAATTTTAAGGGCAAATAAGATTTCTACCTAGTCACCACCTCATTCTAACCAAACCCAACAACAACTCTCTCTCTCCAATGATCCTTTTGGGTTTTGTTTAGATTGTTCAATTGATTGATAGGAAGACCAATTGATGAAAAGGTTGGGAGGAGGAGGGGGCTGACAAACAAAGGGAGGAAGAAAATGAGAGAAGGAGAGAGTGGGTCGGTGGCGGATATGTGGGGTTAGGTTTGGGAAGGGTGGTTGGAGGAGAGAGAGGGAGAGAGAGGTGGTTGTTGAGGCTGAGTTATGCTTATTAAGAATCTAGCATATGAAAAGACAAATATAGCCTTAATTTTCATGGAAAAGTTGACAGAGTTGATGGGAAGGATGAGTTCTGAAAGTTGAGGCATAGTTGAAGCACCATCATAACAATTTTTGGAGATAAGGGACTAAAAGTAAAGTGGGGCCTTACTTGAGGGACCATTGCTACATTTTGTCTTTTTGATTTTTTAGAGATATTATTTTTGTTTTTTGATTTGGTTATCTTTGTATAACCCTAAACCCTAAATCCTCCTTCGAATAATTCGGGTAGTTCAAATCCTCCTTCAAATAATCCAGGTAATTTTTTTTTTTTTTTGAGCTTTTAGGCTTTTAAATATTGTCCCTTCCTTGGAAAATTCTTGAATCCACCATTGGTCATCGATGATTGTTGATAAGTTTATGGTTTGTTCTTTATTTTAATTTATTTAGACTTAACGATGTTAAGCTGGAGTTAATTAAATAGATAGGTGTTAAAATTAAAAATTGACATGTCATATCTTGACTTGATAGATCATTAGAATGATTAAGATCTTGTGAAATGCGGGTAAATGTATAGTGGCTAAATGTAGAGACTCGAGATCCATATAAAAGTGACAGAGATAGGAAAATTAAACATTGAATACATAAATTGAAAAAAAAAATAAAAAATTAGTTAGTAAAAGCTGAAGTAAAATTAACCCAAAAAAATATTGAGTTTTATTACCATATAATTTGAAAAGTTATCTTAATTATTTATGGGAATGTAAATAACATTTCTCATAATAAATCACTATTATTTTTTTGGCTTATTTGTTGAAATGCCCTTTGTAGTTTTCAAATAGTCTCAATTTGCCCCCTGACATTTCAAATGACTCAATCTCCCCCTTTAACTTCCATTATGTGACCAAGGTTGTCCCATTCCATTAGTTTTTAGATAAAAACTGTTAAATCAGCTGAAGTGGCATGGGTATTTTGGTAAATTTAACTATTAAAAATTAAAAAATTCAAATTAAATATAAAAAATGCTTGAAATTATTTTAAATAGGTAAAAAAATACAGATAAAAATGTCCTTTTTTTTAAGAGATTTTCTATTTAAACCCCACACTTCTCTTAGTTCACCTCATCTTTTAATTTAAATTTTCACAATTTCTAAGAAAACCTCATTATCTTCCCAAACTACCCTTAAATACACCCCAAACTGAAAAAATAAGAAATAAAAGAGATTTTCTATTTAAACCCCACACTTCTCTTAGTTCACCTCATCTTTTAATTTAAATTTTCACAATTTCTAAGAAAACCTTATTATCTTCCCAAACTACCCTTAAATACACCACAAACTGAAAAAATAAGAAATAAAAGAGATTTTCTATTTAAACCCCACAATTTTCTTTGTTCCTAGTGGAAAAAAACACAAACAAATGGAACCCCAAACCTGAAATTTAATATTTTCTAGAGAAAGAGAACAAGTTTACCTCTCTGCAAGAACTGTAACTGGAATTCCAACACTTGGGTATTGTTGAGTTGAGAACTTGAGAGAGAGAGAGAGAGAGTTTGTAAACAGGAAGTTGGAAGGAGCTTGTGGTTGGGGAAGGTAGGGGATAATAATCTAGCAATAGGATGTAGAGAAGTTTGTCTTTTTCTAAAACTTAATATGAAGAGTGGTGGGGTGTGTGGGATGTGTGTATAGATGTACTAGGGTTAATTATTAAGTTGAATGACCTTTTTTGTCTTTTTACACAATAATAAAACTTAGAGCTTAATGATTTAAGTATTAGGGTAAACTAAGAGAAGTGTGAGGTTTAAATAGAAAATCTCTTTTTTAAAGTCCCTATTCATCAACTCCCACCATCTTCTCACTCATCTCAGCCAGCCCCACCAAACAACCAACCCACACACAGAAAAAATCCCCCCCACCTTCTCCTCTCTCTCTCTCTCTCTCTCTTCAACCCCTCCCCCCAATTGTCAAAAGGCTCAAAACCCACAAACAAAATCACTAAATTGACTTCAAATTTCGCATATGTGGCAGTCCAAATCTCCCTCGGTGGCTACCAAAGAAAGAGAGAGAATTGGGAGAAGAGAGACATAGGGTGAATTGTTGGTTAGGGTTTGATGATGTCGAAGAGAGAAGGAGGAGAGGGTGGAGGGGGCAAGTTGGATTTTTGGCTACCAGAGAGAGACAGAAGGAGGAAGGGTTATTGGGATTTTTTTGGGTACCTTTGTTTTGACAGAGGAATGGGGAGGGGTAAAGAGGTTGGTTGGGTTGGTTGGGCAGTGGGGTTGGTTGAGATGAGGGAGAAGGTGGTGGGGTTGACGACTGAGGGAGAAAAAAAAGGAGATATTTTTATCTTAATTCTATTTTAAATAATTTCAAACATTTTTTATATTTATTTTGAATTTTGAATTTTGAATAATTAAATTTATCAAAATACCCATGCCACATCAGCTGATTTTAAGATTTTTATTTGAAAACTAATGAAATAGGGCAACCTTGATAACATAAAAGAAGTTCGGAAAATTGAGTCATTTGAAACGTCAAAGGGCATATTGAGACTATATTGAAACCACAGGGCTTTTCAACAAATAAGCCTTCTTTTTTTGGGCGAAAAATCACTCATGTTTGTTCGTGGGTTATGCATACGGAAAAACTACATGTAAAGAGGAAGCATCAGCGGGAGCACCTGATTCTTGAGTTCCCGATTGTAGCAAATTATGTTATTATATACATACCGCATTAGCAGCTGTTGAGGTTCCTCCGAGTCTGGCTGATGGATCTGATATGATCAAAAGGCTCAAAATTGGTCTTGGAATTCTAAATTCAAAGGGAAATAGGATAAGAAATGTGGAGTTTTTTGCTGTGGTTGAGTATTGGGTTTGTGGCCGGGGTTGTGGCGATTTTGGCCGCGGAGGTCCTGGTGGTGTATGTTATCATCAAGAGATTACAACACAAAACCAAACAACACCAAGGGAAAGAAGCCATACAAAAATCTCAAGAAATAGAATCCAAGCCAGACCTACACCCTCGTCAAGCCCTAGAATTCGCTTCCATCAAGGAGGTATGTACCACTTACGTATTCATATCAAATGTGTTCCTTCAATTTCGAGTTGTAAAATTATCCCCTGCCTTCTGTTGTTAGTTTCTTTTTTGCCTTTAAAACTCAACAACAACTACTAAGAAATGAATTCCCAAATTCAATTAACTCTGTGGGAAGTGGGAAGGGCAATTGGAATTGGTACTCTTTATGATCATGAATATCTAAGTTGAATTGATGATATGGAATAAAAAAAGAAAAATTAACATGGAAGTTTGAGAGAATATCGAGTTGATTAAATGACAGGCGAATTGTGAATTTGAACAAAGTATTTTCGACTGTTTCTCCGTTTGGCGCATTTCAAGAATCTTAAGGCTTTATGACTGTCGAAATGTATATAATTGAGAGTAATTGTTTATAATTCTGAAATACAGAAATATGAAATAGACAAAATAATATATATATATATATATATATAATAAAATCATGTAATGAAACATTTTGTACTTTATCCAGCTCTCTTCTCAAAACAAGAATCTTTCTAATGAAAAGTTGATCAAACTGAAACAACTACATTAAGGATTATAATAAAGATTTCATACTAAAGGATGATGATTTCTGTTCCACTTTTAAAATTGAAAGTCATAAACTAGAATGTGTTGATATGAAACTTTGCTGTGCTCTTTTTTATTTAGCATGAGGCACTGGGAGACACATATCATCAGCACTTATATTTAGTGTCTGAGGTTACACATTTCCATGTGGTTGACTGGAAGGACAGACAGCTTAGATATATATTTTGATCCAAAATTTAGTCTTATTACTGCATAAAACCGAATTACCTTTTGTTTGTACTATTGCACATTTTTCATTGAATTTTGGGACTTGTCGATTAATTGAAATATATATCCATTTCGGAAAATGAATATGTTTATCCAACTTTTGCTCCCCACTTCCCTCTTTTGAGGAGCTAATCAATCTTCAGCTGTTTCATTGTTCATTTAGGCTTATGTTACTTATACATAATTCATGGCTATGCATTGTGTTGTCTTTTAAGCTTTCCCTCTCATTGTATAGTTTATTTGTTGTGTCTTAGGGAGCAGTTTGGGTTCTAGAACCAGAAAAAGTTCCCAAAAATTGGCAAGAAAAAGCACTGCGAGAGCAAAAGAGAAAGAAGGATTTCTTTGAGGTTTCTCCTATAAAAAAAAATGCAAAAATCATGAACCAACTACTCATTCTGACAGAATCAGATGGCTCCCAGACAGCTATCCAGTTAAAGGGCTGCACCATTGAAGCTGTTTCCGCAACAAGTCTACCTTCAAGAAAATGGTAACTGGCCTTTGCCACACATCCTTTTGATAACATTCCTGGTGTGTTTTAGAATTGGGTTGGGTATTTTGTGGAAGATGATAGGGTCAAAGGGTTTTCAGCTTCTAACCATTCTTCATCTTAGATTTAGGTGACAGGTTTCTTTCTTAATCCAGATGTTCTAGTAAAGGACAGTCGTGCTTTATAACCTTGCTATACATTTTTGTCTTACCTCTAATCAGTCTGAAATAGAAGAAGGGTATGGACATATAAAAAGATAAAACAAGGGGTTATCATTTTTCTTTTTCTCTTTTTAAATTTAATCAAAGGGGGATGATCTTCACTTTAATTATCATTTTAAGAAAATATTTTACTATTTTGCCCAAATTTTCCCATTACAAAGTGCAGTGCGAAAAGTTTTCTGATGATATAAAGTTCCAATATTTATTTTTTAAATATATAAAGTTAATTCCTCTTTTTATTTTGAAAAATAAAATAAAAGTTGTCTGAGTTCTTAGCTATTTACTGTATTTCACTACATTCTTGAATAGGAATTAACGAACTTAAAATTTCTTTCTGTCCTTAGGGCCAAAAGGTTCCCCATAAAATTGGATAGCAAGTCCACCATAATATACAAAGGAAGTAAAGTCTTTTACATTTATCTTGAAACTTCATGGGAGAAGGAATCATGGTGTAAAGCTCTTCGTCTGGCATCTAGCAATGACAAAGAGAAACTTGATTGGTTTGCGAAGTTGCATGAAGAATTTCGCTGTTACTTGACATTGTTAAATGCAGGATATCCTTCACTCATGAAACACTCCGGAGGGTTCTCTTCTGCTGAACCCGTAGATAGGGAAAATAGGATTGATGGTTCTTCCTCAAAGGTTCGTATGTTCTTGAAAAAAATCACAAAGAAGTATTCTAAGGTTGGTCCAGATAATAAGTTGAGCTGGACTTCATCCTTAGGCCGTGAAGAAAGAAAGATAAGTGAGAAGAATCGCACATGTCAGGATTCTATTTCTTTCAGTAGCTTGGTAGATGCTAGTCCACCAGTGAAGAGGGCTAAGAGTTTCACAGAAGGGAATTTGGCAATTCCGCCTTCATCAACCTTAACTCATTCTGGTAGCCAAAGTCATATATCTGTCATCTCTGATGCGGACTCTGATGATAAGTTTAGTACTGATGAGGCAACGCTTTGTTGGAATTTGTTAATTTCACGGCTCTTCTTTGATGCCAAAAGCAGTGTGGAGATGAAAAAAACCATAAAAGCTCAGATTCAGGTTTACCATATACCAATAAGATTTTATTATTCTGCTAGTGTACATGAATGCACCTTCTCATATTTGCATTGAGGCAGATACACATCATGCAAAACACATGTAAATTCATACACACACATATGCACACACAATATTTCAGACACACACATTTAGGTTACATTGACTTATTTATTTTGCAAGGGACCTGCAATTATTGTGTTCATTTCATGTAACTGGGCCTCATTTGGACATCCTGAATTATGATGCGATGATTTGAGGATTTGTTTTGTTTTGTTATTTTTAAAAAAAGAGGCTTGGAGTGGATGTGGATATTATAATTGTATATGTGCAAATTCTGGCCATTCTTTTGTGCAATTGCGCATTTCTCTTTTATTATTTGTTTGTCAATGCAGATGTAAATTTTATTTGTTTATGTGATTTTGCCTATGACAGAGGACATTGTCCAATATGAGGACCCCAAGTTACATTGGTGAAGTGATTTGTACAGACATTAATACTGGGAATCTCCCACCTTATATCCATGGTATGAAAGTTCTGCCGACAGACATGAATGATGTATGGGCTTTGGAAGTTGACATTGGATATTATGGTGGTGCGGTGTTAAATGTTGAGACGAGATTGGAAGTCCGGGAACTAGAATTCCAGAAAGGCAGTGAGGATTCAAGTCCAGAATCAGGCTCTGTTAGGGATGTGTCAACCGAACTTCTTGAAGAATTTGAGTATTTCGGGAAGCAGTTAAATCTTGCTGAGACAGCTGATGTGCTAGAGCATAAGGAAGAGTGTGACCCAAAACCTGGTGAGATAAAACTTAGATCAATAATTTTTTTGCGCATTCTGCATTTTCCATATATACCTTTGAAACCCTTAATTGTTGCTCACATATATGCAGCCTCTGGGCTCATAATACATTGAGGATTGTATAGTAGTGGTGTTTCCTAATAAACAGTTAATGAATGGTGGAGCTCAAAACTTTAACCCATGGGGTATAAATATAATCTTTTTACCTTTAATGCTGATTGTTATAGGTACATCACTTGCCTTGAAACATAGTTCATTGAGTATTGGATGATTAAAGCAGCCATGGACTTTGGGTTGCCTATGAGCAAGGGAGCGGGACTTTGGGATTTAGACTTCAAACATCAAGGTTTAAATGGTAGCCTAAAGGCTGGGGATGGAATAAATGTCAAACGGAATGATATTCAGTTAAATTACATACCCCTAAATGATGAAAATCCGAATAAGATAGATACCTAAACTATATACTATTATAATGTATGATCTATGGAGTAGTTTACCTAGCCTTGCCCAGAAAAGGGTGGAAGGTATAAGGGCAGGAAAAATAGGTAATCCCTTGTTTGGTAGGAGTGGAAAAGTGGAGGGTGAGGCATCCACCTTCCCCACGTTTTTTATGCTTGGACCGTTAAGCAGATTGAACAAAGGAAAGTATACAGAAAAGACAGTTCTTTTCTACTATATTAGCATTTTCAACGGTGCAACTCGATGATTTGTGGTCTTGGGACTGGAGTTCCTTCGCAGGGTACACCTTTCCTTTATTGTATACCAAATAGAAGAAAAGACAGTATACAAGGTTGGGGTTTAGGTTGGTAAATAGATGGTTTGTATATAAACTTTTAAGTGTGATGAGCAGGAAGAAAATAAAGGGTGGTGAAGAAGGAAACAAACAATAGAGATTGGGGAGGGAGGTCCTAAGGGATGACATTTGTTGTTGTGAGACTTGACTTAGACATGGCATTTAAAAGCCTAAAATTAAGTGTTAGTGTCGACATTTGAGAAAAATGCATTCCCAAATAACAAATTAAAGAGGCTCATCTCTTACTTTTAGTGAGACCAAAGCCTCTCACCTTGACATCTTGTGTACAATTATCATCCGTCAAAATCTTTCAAATCATCTTGCTCAGCCCCCCCCCCCCCCCTTT